AGTGAGAAAGTCCAAGTGGAAGCAGGGGAACAGTTTAAGTGTTAGGGAATCTCCCAACCTTAAGTAATGGGCAGAGTGACATGGAGTAGCGTGTCTGATGGTTTAAGGAAGGAGATGCCATCGAGGCAGGAGGGCTAAGGTGTAGCTCTGGGGAGATGTGTACACAAACCTGAGGTTTTTGTAAACCAAATTAACATCTAAATAAAGATTACAAACTAGCAGAGTACATTTCAAACATTACAGTGAAAGCTCCATTTTCTTATGTTCTTATACCTAGTTGATCAGTCAAAACTGGAGGTGATACTGTTTCAAGCGACACGAGAAGTCAGCAGCTTGTTCCAGTCTGACTCAGTTAAGCTCTTACAATATTTTGACTGTTGGAGGAAAATTAATAATGGGATGCTAGGCGGTAGATTAGCTGAAACTAAATATCAACACAGCTAGATTTATTTTTGGATGGCTGAGATCATCCTTCAGAGAACAGAAACAGCCCTCATTACACCATGAGCTAATACCTCACACAACAGCAGGACCATTCCCAGCAAGCCGAACACTGTCTGCTGTACACAAGAGGCACATTAGCTAGTTTGGTGTACAGGACACAAGTGATGACCTAAGGTTCACAAAGACACCAAAGGAGACTTCCCAGCAATTGGCTGGCTGGTTTCAGAATCAAGCCAGTTCAGTCTCTTTCAAGAAGCAAGTGTGGAGGTAGACGGTAGAGTTCTACTCTAGCCAGTGGACCAAACATACAGTGAGGTCGACAATGCTTTCTGTCTTTTCTGTATTCAGCTAGTTTTACTAGGCACTTACTTGCCTCTAGCCTCATCCCAGCTTGCATGTGTGCGCTACCCTGGTGGTAAAGGTCACAGTGTGTTCTCTCAGGTCAAATGTCCTGGGTGGATGGTGATGGTTCCTGCTTCTGAGGGGCTTGAAGCCCTGGTGCTTAAAAAACAACAGAGTCACTTTGGCTTTGGATGAGCCAAACAGACCCCAACTGCTTAAGATAGAAGCACCAGAAAGTGTCAACTTGCCCTGTTTCCCCCGTGCTGTCTACACAATGGAGAGGCTGCCAACTAAAGCTGTGGGATCCCAGTTGCAGATTGCCTAGCAGTAATTGCCTAGAGAGCGAGAACACCAAAATGGGTTCACCCAGACCTGCCTTTCATCCATGGACTGCCTGGGTCAGTAACTCTGCCGAGTCCTATGCAGATGCAGAAGCAAGAACCTTCTCTCTACTTACACAGCAGTCATTGGAGGCTTCTAATATCAGTGAAATTAGGGGAACTGAGACTTTGACTACGGTTTAAGACTGTGTGTGTGTGTATATATGTGTGTGTGTGTGCATGCATTCATGTGTGTGTAATATAAAATGCAAAGCTGGAAAGAATCCCAGTATATCTTGGCAACAGAAATACCATGTGAAGAGTCATGGGATGGACTGTAACAGTATACATGGCAGAAACAACACACATAGCATGGTACTATTTTTATATAGCTCACAACTCCATGATAGTTAGGGACACATGCACATAGAGCACACTGATGCACAAGGGAGGAGTGCTGTTCTCGGGAAGGTGACATCACGTGGCAAAGCTATAGGGAACCCATGCTGGCTTTGCCCTGCTTCTCAACTAAGTGGTGAGCTTTCTAATTTACATATGCATTATAATTGTAGCTATCCAATTACATTTTTTTTGAAAGAAAAAAAGTCACCAGCACAGTGCCTGGTAGTCTAAAGATCCGTTTATGCCATCAGAATGAGTTGTTTGTCCTCAGACAACATACCCTGGGGGCTTGCTGACAGGATAAGGGTGGGGTGGTCCCAGTCAGCTGAGCACAGCTGGAGCTGCTGGGAGGACAGATGAGTGCCGCACAAGCCCTTGCCTGTCCTCCCTGCTGTCTTCCCTGCAGCTCGCTTATCAAGTGCAGGGGTGCTTTCTTAGCCCCTTGAGGAATTCCTTCCACTCCACTCCTCACACTTGTGTAGGGTGTCCAAGTCCTAACTGTCCAGCCCAACAAAGGGAGGTGAGCAACTTCTGGTAAGGCCACCAGGAAGCTCCTTCCAGAGTGACGAGGGTGGGAGGCAGGATGACAAATCCCAGAAGGACACTGCTCCAGCCCATGTCTGGAGCTTCATGGAACCAGTTGTTTGTTCCCCTGGGTGGGTCAGCTGGATCTCTACCATGTGAGGATCCTGCATCATGAAACAGCTTTGTTCGATTACGTGAGCTGGACAGGCTCTGCTGCCGGCATGGGTGAAGTGCAGGCTCTGGCAAGGGAGGGAGACTACTGCCCTGTCCTATTCTAAGTCCCACAGCTGCCCCTTCCTACCAGTCCCACTTCCTGCCCAGCTTTCGAGAGCCATCTCCAGGATGTCTTTCTCTCCTTGTCTATGTCTCCTGTGGTGGTACACTGCAGACCTTCAGACATGGCTGCTGAAGTCAGGGAATGGGTGACTAGCAAAGGTGATGAGGAGGCAGCAGCGGCTGGTCCTGACTCCCTCACCTACAAGGTGACAGTCGTCTCTCACATCCATCCAGAAGATGGAGAATGAACATCACATTGTCTTAGAACATTGCAACCTACAGCAATGCTATTACTTGAAGGAGAAGCCAAATAAAACAGGTATGGCCAAAGTATGGTCACTCACCTGCCATGAGATTCTGACTGAATCGCCCACCTCCACTATAAACAAGCACCACTGACTGCAGTTCTGTGTCACCAAAGACAAGTGGCACAAGCCAGCCAGAGGCATACAGACCTGACAACCCTTGTTGGTTAAGCATGTTATGTGTAATATGGAGTCTCTCCCTTGCATGGAGCCCCATGCTCTCTTATCAGCTATCAGAACAGAGGCTCCATGAGTAGGTGGCTGAGGCTGGCAGACCCAAGCTGCCTATTTTGTCAGGTAGTAGAAACTCAAGTGTTCTGCCTGCCCACCCCTAATTCTGCTCATCCCACTCAATGCCAAATTCTTATCCTCTTCATGAAATGGAAGCTCAATGACCTGGAAAGAATGTGACCAAACCTATTTTTCTGATGAAGCTTTGTTTTTACCTTTATTAACTCTCTGATACCTGTCAAGTCTGCTAACAGGATCTGTGCACTGCTGTGAGGTCTAAGGGGACCTTACACGCATGGTGAGTATGCTTGAGGGAAGCAGCAAATGCCTTTTATATAAGAAAACTGCTGTATTTTTCCTATCAAAGGAACACCGTACTATATCATTTTCTTTATATTTTGGCCCAAGATGAGAAAACTGCTCAAATGGACTTCAGAAATCTATCTATATCTATATATCAAATATATACACAAATGAAACATTGCAAACTTAGGAAGTTCACATCCTTTCCATCACCAGTCAAAAGAAACACACATAAGCAATCGCTTTTCCAAGATGGGAGGGCTGGATGAAGAATGGCTTGCCTGGGTGACTGGGATCCATATAGCGATACAAAAGCGAATGCCGTAGCAGTAGGAGCTTATAGGGGACCCAAGGCAGCAATGCTACATGCAGAGCCTTGCCTTCCTGGTACCCACCCCTGGACATACTGCCGTGAAACACGTGTCCCAGTGTCAGGGGCACCCTTGTTTATACACTGAAGGCCTAAAATCAGCAATAAGCCCAAGTCAGCCTGATAACACAAAGTCTTGGTCTCTGTGGAAAAACACTGAAACAGATAGCTATAAGATATTGTAAACTGGCAGCTTTGGTGGAAATTTACCAGCCTGAGTAGTCATAGACCTTGTAGATAGGTAGCCTTGGCGAATAGTACTAACTTAGATAAGGACAAGTGAGTTATAGGCAGAGTCATAGTGACCTGTCCCCTGAACCTTCACCCAGCCGATATCCTGTTCTGGAAGATATCTGTACTCCCCCTGAACACCTACGTTCTTGTGTCATGCCCTTCCCCACATCCTGCCTTTTTGTGTATATAATCCCTGTGTGAAAAAGTAACAATCACAATTTGATCAGACTATAGACAAATCGTCATTCTTTGGGTCTGCCTGTTTCCCCCATTCTCTCTTTCAAGTGACCTCCCGGGACCCTGGTTTAATGCCCTGCTGGACGGGGCATCCCAGTAGGGGCTCTTCAGATACCTATCACCACACAGACACCAGAAACCTTCTCATGGACACCATGACACATTCCTAGGCCACTTGACTCCAAGCACACTGTCTTTGGTCAATTTATACATTAGTGGACTGTGAGGCCAGAATTCTCAGTCCAGAGCCAACAGAAACAATAGAATCAGAAGTTGGTGATAGCAAAGGGCCAGAGGCTTTCTCCTAACATGTGAGAATGGAAAATGACTTTCATGAACCACAAAGTCCTAAGGCCACAGTGTGTTCATTTTCTTCAGCAGGATACCAGCTGAGAATTGCCCAGTATAATCTCTTAGAGAAAATATAAAATTTACCCAATGCTGCTGGGGAGGCTGTCACATGACCTGACACAAGGTCAAACAGCTTATAGTACCTTCCCTCTCCTTTACCTAGGACTGCAACGTACTCAAATGCAAGGTTTCAGAGTGCAGTGTCTATGCTAAAGCAATGGCTCCATCCTATGGGTCTCGACCCCATTAGAAAATAGGTATTTATATTACAATTTAAAACAGTAGCAAAATTACTGTTATGAAGTAGCAACAAATTACTTTTTTAAAGTAATTTTATGGTTGGGGGTTACCACAGCATGAGAAACCATATAGGTTGGTGTGTAGGGGCCAGAGGTAGAAGCCAGCTGTCACCCCCAACCTTATCTTTTTTCAGAAAAGGTTTGTTACCCATCATTCAGCTGGGCCGCCATGGCTGCAGGGCCCTTCTGCCTCCATTGTCCAGCACTAGCTTACAGTACATGTTACCACACACAGCTTTTGGTTGTGTACATGAGCTGGGGATTCAAACTGAGGCACTTTACATCTCAGCTTCCACAGGAAGCTAAATTTGAAGACAGGTTTTTCCTCCACATGTCCTACAAATAGGCAAGCAGATCTTACCAGAAGCATTGCTGAAGTCCCATTGGGTCTCGATAAGTGAATGGACATTTCTGGAAACATCCTGTCAATGCGGCTGATCACGTCATCGACATACCTAGGTGTGGAAGAAGTGCACAAGCATGAACTGGGGTCCTGTCGGAGGCTGGAAGACTTTACCTCATACTTAGCCAACTTTCAGTTGGTGTGATACCTTTTGAAGAAGACAAGGTTACAAGGCCTCTCATGAAAACCTTTTCCTTTTTCCTCCCATGACCCTTTGTAGAGGGGCTTGTTTTAAGTGATTATATTTATATTTTAAATAAAGTGCCTAAATCCACCCTAACTTTCAACTGGGATATGTATGTCTCTTATACAGGACTCCACTGTAGGCACACTGTAGGCACACTGTAGGCTGGTGCTTTGGCCATGCCTTCTCTAGTTGAACCTGACAGTGGTGCTTTCCGTTTTCATGGTTTCTGTTTGGCTTTTATTTGCTCAGCCTTCTATGTCCCTATTACCACGTTGTTCCTCAACTCTGGACTCTAAAACCTTTCTTAGCTTAGTCAAATACATCAGGTAAACTAGCAGCTCCATTGTCATCCCTCCCCTGACCCAGTGGAGTCTGCATCTCCCGGGGCTTAATACTCACTGAGACCACTGGCATTAAGCATGAGGCACAGTGGCAGTTAGTTACTAAAAACTCACAGATGACATGTGTGCTGGGTGGTTCCAAGAGCCCTGCTGCCCTGCAGTGGAGGCTTGCGGAGAGCATGCCGGCCCACAGCACACACAGAGCAGGTTCTGCTCCTTACACAGGACACCCTGCCAGCTAACTATCTACTCACACCAACACAAAAGGTGCATACAACCCAGCAGCCAAAACTAGCTATTAAGGGGTAGTAAATTAAATTACATGCCCACTACATAAGGGACATGTTAAGGTATAGTTCTGGGGGAAAAGCTGTGACGAGTTCCTTGATCATGTAATATAAAATTTCAGTTGGAAACCTGAGGCTCATGAGAAGCAGTGCAGAAGAAGGCCATCTGTCTGCCAAGGAAGTCAGAAAGTGTTTCTCAGGACGGTCTTGCTGGGTTTTCATGTTGAAGGAGGGCAGGAAAGGCTGCAGAACTAACAACTAGACTAGTAACTCAACAAGGGCTGTGGACGGGTGTGTGTGAAAAGAGGTGGTGCTGGCCAGGGTGCTGCTAGGGAAGGTGAGGTGGGGGATTCTGGTGGACCTCAAGTAGCCCACAGATTCCACAGTGCTATAGCAGCAGCCAGCTTCCCCTTTCAAAGAGGGATCTTTGGCGATCCCCTGACTCACAGCCTTCTAGTACCTCATGGCATCTAAACATAACTTAATTGCAGGGGTGACTGGAAGAGAGGAAGGCACAAGCATAGCACTGCCTAGTGTCCACTGAACCAACAGAAGAGGCATGACAAAACCATGCCAATTCAGGCGTTGGCAATGCTCAGATGCTCACCTTCAGATACTTCTCCTAATCTATATGTGTGCATTCACCCCATTTCTTCACACTCAGCAGAAGCAAACAGCCTCTGTCCTGTGTGAATGGAGGTCACTGCTAAGTATATGCTAATGTGAGGGGCAGGGACTGTCTTGTGCATAGTCTTCAATCAATAGCCATCATAGCTCTGGAAGGGAGCTGGATGAATATGCACAAGTTTAGCACAAAGACCATCATAACCTACCTCTTAGATCTCTCGCCTTGAAACTTTCAGCAGACCACCTGGAAATCGGGCTGCTTAGCAGGCCAGAAAACCTGAACAATGGGGTTATGTGATGATCCTGGGCCACACACAAACTTGAAGGCAACCTCACTCTACACTTGCCTAGAATTCCAAACCAGCCACCTGGTCCAGATTTTGTTCATTGCATCCAGAGTTGCAGTGGGCAACCCTGGTTATTTTTGGGCTCTATTATCAATAAATAGGGACTTTCATTTGGGAGGGAAAGTTGTGGCAGAGGAAAGAGTTCCTAGGAAAGGTATCTGCCGCAGGCACAACACAGTTAAGAGGCCCAGGGTGGGTGGGTTTTCTGTGGTTTCCTCCCTGCCCGCCCACCTGCCTGTGATCTTAGATAAGGCTCAGCAAACTCATTTGAAAATTCCATTGAGCAGAAATGAATTTTAAGGAGACTGTTTTTCTCTGCAGGCCTAACATAAAGGAGATGCAGATTCCTTTGTTACAGGTGACATTATGCATTTGCCAAAGAGACCGAAGAAAGTCAGCTGCACCTTTAGCTGAGGAAAACAGTGTCTAGATTTTAGATGCAAAAATCAAAACATTTCATTTTTAAATAGACCCAGCCTTAGAGATACAAATGAGCCACTAGTAACTTGACAGAAACCAGGGAGGCTTGCCACACCAGATTAAAAGTCTGGAGACAAAAATGGCTTTCTTTCTGCTGAGAGTGAGGGCTGGTGTGTGTGGGGTGGTCTTTGGCAACGCTTCTAGAATGCTACCTCCCAAGACAGCGGGCGCTGCTTGTGTCTGTATGGTGCTCGCAGAGTGCGCCAGCACCATGCTTACAGAGCCGGGCTAAGGACAGGTAGGAACGGCTTGCTCTCCTCCCACACTGCCACCATATGTCACACTCCACGTTGTGGCAGAATCAAATTACTTTAATTTTTACCTTTGGAGTGGAGGCAAACAAGCAGCACACCGCAGCGGTGACGAGTTTACACTTGAGCAGACGCGGCCTGTGCGCCCGCACGGAAAGACATTAATTTGGAGCCAAATTGAGCAGTGAGTCACAATTTGCACATATCTGTCAACCTGTTAACAGGGTAATAACTTGGAAGGATTGCTGTTCCTATTTACATTACGGAAGCCTTTCAAAGTGGAGAATATGCTGGGTTTTCCTTTCCTCCAACACTCAGCTAGCTGGCCTAAGAACTAGACTGGAAACGCAAACTTCCAGAAACCACAGGTTCAGATCAAGGTGCGAGTCTTCCGTATGTTCAGGCAGAAAGTTAACTTTTAAGTTTCTGTTTCTCTGCCCATCCCTACTGAAGAGCAGGCAATTCAGTGGTTTGGGAGATGAGCTGTGCAGAGAAAAGCAGGAACCCCTCCCTCCCTCCCAGGTTCCCAGTGGCTTCCTGAGACTGGAGTGCAGACTTGCTGCTCAGTGTCTCTGTGGCAGCAGAAAGCACCACTCTCTCTACCCATAGTCCTACACACAACATACACCTGGGCCCTAAGGCTTCCTTTCTTGTTTCTTTAAATAGCCTTCACAGGAGTACTGAAGAACACCAACACTCCAGAAGTGACCCACTGACAGCATCTCCAAGAGGTGGTCTACAAGGTAAATTCTATTTTGCAAGTCAGTTCCTGTCTGCAGTCTGGCCAGTATCTCCAGTGTAGCCAGTAGCCACACTGTATCAGCTTGGCAGAACGCTACTCAGACAGTTCTCCCAAAGGCTTTTGTAAATATGTACAGTTGCTGGGTCTTCCTAAGTCCTTCACTGATGATTTTTAGTTTCCTCAGGCCCTAGATCCCTAGGAGAAGGTACTGAAAACTATATGACATTACACATGCAACTTTCTGCACTTTATAGTTCTTAATTTGTGGACCCTGATTTAAGTATCCCTGTCTAGACCCTTCCAGAATTAAGGTCTCTGGTTTTCTTTGTTAACCTTTTTTTTCTTAAAAAAAAAAAAAAGGTATTTTTATGGAATGTGCATTCTGCCTGCATGTATGTATATATGAATGGATGTATCTCTGTATCATACAGTCTTGAAGTAATCACAATTATAGCAGTGTGTGTAACATCGAACAGTTGTGTGGATCTTAAAATCATACTTCTGTAATGGAGCTGTTAGGTGAGCTTATTACTTTTATAACTGACAAATTAAAAATTAAACCTCTTCTTCCCTGTGAGTATGCTCTAAAATAAACACACATTATGGAATGGCTACTATCAAGCTAATGAACATGTGCTTTACCTCACATACCACCTTTTCTGTCAGCAATTTTCAAGAATATGATAACCTATCATTAACACTACACTACACTCTAATGGACCTTTTGAGCTTATTGCTGACATTCGTGTCCTTCAGACAACATCCCCAGCCGCTTCGCCCATCCAAGCCCTTGGTAACCACCATTGTACTGCCTTCCCCTATGAATTCCACTCTTTCAGATTTGACACATGAATGACACTCTATGCTATTTAATCTGTCTGTGCCTGGCTTATTTCATTTAGCACAAGATTTTCATGTTCCTCCATACTGACAGGACTTCCTTCTTGTTAAAGTCCTAACTGTGCCCACACCATGTTTTCTTTATCTGTTAATATGTTGGTGGGCATGAATGATGATCCCAGATCTTGACTACTATGACTAAGACTGTAGGAACATGAGAGTGCAGATGTTTCTTCTTACTGCCTGTGAGCAGACACAGAGAGGTGGGACTGCTAAGTCATGTGGCACTTCGGGTTTAGCCTCCTAAGGAACTTGCATGCTACTTCCCCAGCACTGCACTCACCTCTGGCCCCCATCAGTGTGTAAGCACCCCTTCCTCCCACGTCCTCTCAGCACTCATCTCCTGTAACAACTCCTCTCCACACCAGGGTCACGGACCTATTCACAGGACCTTAGAGGTGATCTGACTAGAGGTGACCAGCTTTGCAGGGCAAAGCCACACAACCCATAGTTTCTAGGGGCCTCTGCTTGTCTAGGTAAAGCATCCTCTGTTTTCAGAACCACTCCTGAGACAGGGCTCAGAAAGGACTCAAGTCTCAAGTCCTTGGAGGCCTAGGAGAGCCTTCAATACAGATGTCACTCTCTTTCAGCCTCAGCTGCCAACTCCTTTGCCAAACTGAGCATTCTTCCTGAAGCATTCTTTGCCCAGACGGGCCCACCACAAAGCCCTGATCATTCTTCCTTAGGCTAACTTCCTCAGAAAAGCCTTTCCTGGTCCCCCCCCCATCCTGTTCAAATCTATCAATCAGTACACCCTACCTCACACAGCACTTTCAAATTCTGTCACATCTGCACATTTGTAACTACACAATTTGTGAGTGATTATTTCTTTAAAGCCCTACTTCCCTACAGGATTCTCTAGGGTTGTGTGACCGCTCTCTTCCTTGTAC